CTAAACTTCCCCTGTTTAAGTTTTAACCCATTATCCCAGGTCCTGTCACTACAAACCCTAATGAAGAGTCCATCTCAGGCATTCCTATAGCCCCCCTTCAGATACTGGAAGGCTGCTATGAGGTCTCCACACAGCCTCCTCTTCTCCAGGCTGAACAGCCCCAACTTCCTCAGCCTATCTTCATATGGGAGGTGCTCCAGTCCCCTCATCATCCTAGTGGCCCACCTCTGGACTTGTTCCAACAGTTCCATGTCCTTTTTATGTTGAGGACACCAGAACTGCACACAATACTCCAGGTGGGGTCTCACGAGAGCAGAGTAGAGGGGCAGGATCACCTCCTTCAACCTGCTGGTCACGCTCCTTTTGATGAAGCCTAGGATACGGTTGGCTTTCTGGGCTGCGAGAGCACACTGAAGCCGGCTCATGCTCAGTTTCTCATTGACCAACACCCCAAGTCCTTCTGTGCAGGGCTGCTCTGACTCTCTTCTTTGCCCAACCTGTAGCTGTGCCTGGGATTGCTCTGACCCAGGTGTCGGACCCTGCACTTGGCATGGTTAAACTTCATGAGGCTGGCATCAGCCCACCTCACAAGTGTGTCAAGGTCCCTCTGGATGGCATTCTTTCCCTCCAGCGTATCAACTGAACCACACAGCTTGGTGTCATCGGCAAACTTGCTGAGGACGCACTCAATCCCACTGTCCATGTCAGAGGCAAACATGTTGAACAAGACCGGTCCCAGCACCGATCCCTGAGGGACACCACTCGTTACTGGTCTCCAGCCGAACATTGAGCCATTGATCACAACTCTTTGTGTGCAGCCATCCAGCCAGTTCTTTATCCACCGAGTGGTCCATCCATCAAATTGGTGTCTCTCCAATTTAGAGACAAGGATGTCGTGTGGGACAGTGTCAAATGCTTTGCACAAGTCCAGGTAGATGACATCAACTGCTCTACCCCTGTCCATCAGTTCCGTATCCACATCATAGAAGGCCACCAAATTGGTCAGGCAGGATTTCCCCTTAGTGAAGCCATGCTGGCTGTCACCAAGCACCTTGTTGTTTTCCATGTGCCTTAACATGCCTTTCAGGAGAATCTGCTCAAAGATCTTGACAGCCATGGAGGTGAGATTGACTCGTCTCCCCCGGGTCATCCATTTTCTCCTTCTTGAAAATGGGGATTAAATTACCCTTTGTCCAGTCTTCGGGAAATTCACCTGACTGCCATGATTTTTCAAATATGATGGGCCGTGGCTTAGCAACTTCATTCACCAGCTCCTTCAGGACCTGCAGATGGATTTCATCAGGTCCCATAGACTTGATGGAAGTTTTATACAGAAGCAAGCGAATTTTTACTATAATAAATCTGAAGTCATACATTCTCTTTATACTTCAGACTGCTTTAGTAGAAATAAATGATTCATCTAGAATCTATATCCAGAGTTCCAGGCATGCAGATACTTCCCTTATTTTACATGTGGGACAGTTTTGGATTGGTAGGCTGCACTCTAGTAAAATGCACATAGAAAAATTAAGCACAACTGTTCTTAAACCCAAATAATTTTTTCTATCTTTTTCAACTGAAAATACCTCAGGAACTTCTGGTTGAATTATAGATAAGTTTCAGTTAGTAACTGTGGGTTTGAGACTACAGTTGCAAATGTAACTGTACTCAAATTTCCTGAGAAATTAAGAACTGGACTGTAGGAAAGAGATAAAAAAGGGATAAAATTCACCTACTAATCATTGAATAGAAGTTTACTAGATAAATAAATACTGCAAAAAAAACCCAACTTAGATATATTGGGGAAGTCATGTTTCCCATATTCCCAGAAAGCTATGTTATTCTTTCTGGAGTGCTCAAAGTCTTGGAAAGCTGTAATTTTGCACTTTACTGTGTTGAACACAAGTGACTGCCAACTTCTAGGCCAGGAGGAGGATGGATGCCCCAGGCTAGTCCAGCTAGGTAAAATTCATTTGGGAAGCTAAGGAGTGCTATCAGAATTCTCTGATCACACCATCCCCAAATTATTTCTTCTAACTCTTTCCATCTGCTACTTCTCTCCTCCTGGGGATGAGTGGTTGATATTTTTTATTTTTTTTTTGTTATAGATAAATTACTATCTTAACAATGGCTTACATATCTTAGGCTTATGGTAGTGAATAACACTCAAAACTGAAAGTGCTTTTCAAATTGCAGGTCTGTAGTTATACATACAGTGTAAGGAAGGAGAAAAGAGTGGTATGGTACATCTAAGAGAATCACAATGAGCTAAAGAAAATAATCAAGAAACAGAATTCATATGATTTTTTGCATTATTTTTTAAAACAAATTGTAGTGACAATATTTTAAGAATTATGATTCACTAAGACACCTCATTTATTACTGGCAGTACTTTAATGGCTACTAGGATCTTCCAGAAGACTGAAGATGAAAGGATTTCAAAGATTTCACAAGCCTACTGGTTTAAAGGATAAATTAAATCTATTTTACTCTGCATAACACAAGGCAGAAAGTTTCACAGAATAACCATAGATATTTTAGCTCTGAGACACATTTCAGAGGGTGATCTAAATTAAACACCTCTATCTCTGGTTTGACAAATCATTTACGCTAAGTACCTCAGTCAAAGGTTTGCTGGCCATCTATTCTTCCTGAAATTTCCATGAAATGTCCTCTAGTCATAATTTACTGGTTAGACTCTGATTGGACCAGTAAGTGATATGATATGGCATCTGTTACTTTTGATCTAAGAATAAAAGATGAAGGGTTTTTATAACAAGAACACTTGGTGTCTGAAGTCTTATAAGGAGATGGTCAGTGTGAATTTCCAATTGTGTTATGCACTCTTAAACAGATGTGATTTTTTAAATGGAAATTACTCCTACAAACTAGATCTTCTACTGGAAACTGGGTTTCTTAATATTGCTTGCACGTGATTTTCTCTCCAGAAATATTTTAATGGGTTTCTCTCTTATGACAAAATTTACATCTCCTATTCTCTAAACAGATTTTTAAAAAAATCTACCTGTTCAAGCTACAAGAAATTTGTCATGTGGTTGTTGGTTTTGGGAACCACCTGAATTAAGATTGTCCTGTGTGAATAAAAGCTATTGAAACCTGTGAAGGAAACACATAGCTGTAAATAAAATTAAAACCAGTAAATACATTTAAAACCAATTTTATCTCTTATAAAAGTAGTCATTCCTCTTTAACTTCAACCACAGGACGGTCATGAAAGACAGCCAAACACACTTTATCTTTTGAGAGAGGAATTCTAGTAAGGAAGGTCTTCTTTGTATTTTTAATGCTATGTGGCAGCTAAACAAATAGATTAGTGAATTGAAAGCTTCAAAGGGTCCAGTATTACAGCCAGGCCTAAATTTCTGTACACACAAGTCAAACGATAAGTCTATCAATATTTTATATATCAGTAGATGCAAACATGTAAGTCAGGCCTGTTCTATGCTATTACCTTTTAAAACACGTACAGTCTTTTAACCTATTTTTTTCAAGGTAAAACTTTCTGGTAGGATCTACATATTAAAAAAAATAAAATAAACATATATGTTTTACAATTTTGAATGATAATGGAAATAACTTCTTCTATTACTATTAATAAGAATATCCTAAGATTATTTTCTACACTTCTTTTCTTTGGCATCTTTACAAAGCCGTTTGAGAGCAGAGTGTTTAATGAAATAGCAAGGAAATTTTGCTCCTGAGAAGCCTGAGCATTTTTTTCTAATCAGGGAATAGCAACAAAGAAGTCTGTGAATATCTTTTCTACTGGGAGTACCAGCTTCTGTGTTTACACTTGCACCCAGGAACTGCAGCTTGGTGATGCGTGCTGCTCAGAAACAGACACATTGTGTTGTTTTTATTGATAGCACTTGAATACTTTTTCACTTCCATATGGACAAAACACATCACAGATTGCAAAATCCTGCTGTGTTCACAAGGATGTAGACCTAGCTCTGATATTGTTTTCCTCATGTCTAAAGTAACTCAAGCATATTCTCCACATGAATCACACAGTCCGTGTTGCTTCACTAATTTGAAGTCTGACACAGTATATATATCAACTGCAATTTAGATGGTGTGTTTCGATATTTCATTGGCACAAGAGCCAAGAACAATAGAATTGCCATAACAGATCAGAACCAATGGTCCATCTAGTCCAGTATCCTGCCTGAGGCGATGGTTGCACGCTTCAGAGGAAAGCACAAAGGCCTTGGCATGCGCACAAAATTTAACCATGGAAGCAAATTGCTTTTTGATTCTCTCTGTTGCTCAACTAATGCTACAAAGCATGAGCATTACTTGTCCCTGTAATTGTTATACTAGTCAGTGGAACTGTGCATGATAGCCTAATTTATAAATGTCTGATCCTTTTTTGAAATGCGTCACACAATGTTGTGAGGGTTCCTGTGAACATGTGTTGCTGACGTTAAGATCATTTTTTTCATTTCTATGTATTTTTTTTTAAGTGGGTAAAAGATCTATCAGCAGATGGTGCTGTTGCAGAAAGCTGTGTTAGTTTTGAACAACCTAACGTATAGGCAATTAATTCTTTAAAGGGTGGTTTATTGTCAGGTGTAATGGAGTCCTTTTGGTTTAATAAGAAGAATACCAGAAGAGTTGACTCTTCTTCTTAAAGATGCCTAATTTATACATTTTTATTTTTTAGTTTCAGCTACAGCTCATGGTCAGTGCCCAGAAGCTCGCAAATGTAATTAGCCAAAATGTGAAGTTATGGATAAATTCATGCTGCAATGATATTCCTGTCCCAAAGTGGATGAATAGAAATTTTGTGTTCAACAGAATAACCAGATTATCTCAATATTTTGCTACACCACAGAAATGAGCAATAGAACTCTAAACACAAAGATTTAGTCAGCAACAGGTGCTTTCTACCCCATGCCTGTGCTGGAGAAATTCAAAATCGTATAATGTCATGTATCACATATGTGTAAAACATTTTTACTGTTACAGTTTTCCAGGTCCATAGGCCTCAGATCTGAGGAATTAAAGGGCAGAAAAATTGACAATGGCTGGCAGAAGACCTCAAAGAGAAAGCACAGAAGGTCACAAAAAGTTCTCAATAAACTAAAATATTGATGAAGACAGAAGACAACTACTGGGTATCACCGAGTATCTGGTAAATAAGGGCTTTGACAGAGACCTCTAGGTTGTAGCTATTCTCACCTGTTTGCTCTGTTCCTCTAGAAAAGGCTGAACCCGTCATCTTGCTGTGTCATCCTCCCTGTACAATCAGCACAAGAAAATGTTAGCCTGTCTTCTTCCTTCCCTAGTTCAGTAAATGATCAAAAGTCACCAGTGGATTGATTTTAAATCAATGCCTGAAGGACAAATGTTATTCCTTTCTTTATTACCATGTAGTAACTTTGGGGCAGGTTGATGCCTTCTTCAATCTCTTGAACTGCTTTTGTGGGATTCAGCAGAACCCATGCGTTGGAGTTCCTTGTCCTGGGATTCACTATTTTATTCCAAGACAAACTCTTGCTTGAATAACAATCTGGTGAAATAAGGGAAAATCCAACTCTAGCGACACAACTTGAATGATAAATCTAAAAGTGTTTGTAATAAATCCTCTTTTCTATATTCAAAAATCATGGAGATTCTAAATTATTGCTCTGCATCAAGCAGAAAGATCAAAAGACAAGGAAAAAAAATTGCTTACTAACCAAAACTAGTGCCAGCGGTTATATAGATACAGATTAGAAAGATGAAAGACATGTAAAAATTACTGTAAAAATAGCAGCCAGTTTGCTTTAATTCATTGAAGTCACAACAGTGAAAATAATGATTATCAAATTCCCTATACTTTTAGAATTCACAGCTTTTTCTAGATGATACACAGACAGATAGCATCTGGTATAAACAAAGTTAAAGTGAATAGAAGAATCAGAGTAATTAAACTCTGTGAAAAAAAAAAAAAGTAAGTTTATAGAACAGACACAAAATATATGAACTTTATCATCTGCAAAAATGGTTGCCAGACAGGGAGTTAATTCAGGTTTTTTTTTCCTGTCACTGTCTGAATCAAACTTAATCTTGGCCAGAGAACATTCAGGGAAGTCTAGCAAATCTTCACCAGCTACATGCTCTCCACAGATGCTGATTTTGGGTCGTATTTAACAGATAATTTAGCAGAATAGAACTAGTGGGGAGAGACACTTAAATGATTTGTAGATCTGGTTTGGATAAGTCCCCAAAAGACAAATGCTGGACAAAACTTGTCAGATCTATTTGGTCTGCACATCTCACAAAAAAATTTGTTTGTTACCATGACCACTGATTACAAGGTCGCAGTTGAGATTTGGTTAGTTGCATTGGAAGTTTTAATGCTCAATACATATAGTGACTCATTTTTCCATAAACAGAGTGAAATTTTATTTTGATTCCTAGCAATGTGAGAGACAAAGAAATGGGAACATTCTTGCTTTTCTAGTATACAAAAAGCTTTGGGATGTGTATGTGCTACTTCAGGCATGTAACATCTAATTTAAGTGAAATTTCAAAACATGGGCAGATTTATACCTGTGTTTCAGATCACACTTGTGTAAATCGTGGGACATATGTTTCTTTATTCCTCTAACAATAGTTTACTATCTTTATAACAGAGTAAGTCTTTTTGCTAAGTTCTTTATATCTGTAATAACCTTCATCTTTGTTCTTCTATCCCTCCACTTTTCTCCACAAACTAGACAAAATGTGCTTCCTTTGAACTTTTAAACATATAAATGCAAGCCACAAAGATCATATTGTTTCTCTTACAGCTACTTTTTAGACACATTAAAAAGCTTCCTAGGAATATGAGTTTTGGTACAAAATTGACCTGGATGCTTTTTCTGGACACTTTCCCTTCCTCTAGTAAATATTGAAGATCTTAAATAATAACTTCAAATGCAGAGTCATTCCCCTCTACAACTGAATTTTCTAGGGTCTCTCTAGTGTACTGTGGGTAGATGTGTTATGACTTTAGAATATTTGGAAGAGACCATTACTGAAAACTCCACATTTCATTCTGTGCCATGATCAAAGTTGGAGAGCAGTTAAAAACACTGTAGTCCAAATTTCTTTATTAATGGTCCTCGTAAGATCTGCAATATTTTAATATATATTTGTAAGATTTTGCAGACACAGAAATTCATGGGGATATGGATGATACTTTCAAATAAATGTGTATAACTTTTTTTTTATTAATTTCATTCTCATGAGGAGCTATCGCTGATCTGAACTGAGGTTTAGTTTAAACTACAGTCTTCTGATATTTGCAGAGATGCAGATAATAGACTGTGATTCCCCAGGGTATCACTCTGATTAAACTGCACATATATTACTTTTTTTATTAGCTTACCCAATGTAACATTATCTTTATGTCAAAATTCTTTCTAAATCTGAAGCTAGGTGGTCCTCTGGCTTCAGGAGATTTTGATACTCCTGTGTTTATTATGTAAAAAATAATGTAACCATCAAATGTTTATTATAATTTTCCTACTGACCCCATTTTCTTGAAACATATGGAGTATCTGTTTCATGAACAAGATTTCAGAGCTGGCATTTTTTATTGTGTCTTTGTGTCTTCAAATTTAAGTTATGACCTAACATTGCAGATTTAATGTGATACTTATGGAAGGACCAAGCCTTCATATTACTGTTACAGTAGCTGAGTTCCAGAGGGATCTGCTTTTAACAGCTTTCAGACAGTGAAATCTGGCTTTTATAGCAATGCTCAAGTAGCTATGGTGCTTTAATGGTGGCAACTTCAGAGCTTCTGCAAAGATTAGAGCTTCACTGCAAACTCCCTTTGTCAAAATTGCACATTCCTTCATAGAAGAAATACTGAGGATGATCCTCACTACTGAATTGTTCAGCAGCCAAGATATTTTATTGCCACAATTATTTCAATATATATTAGCAGCTATTGTCCACCTCCTTCATCTCCCTTCCCCCTCCTTTAACATTCAGAAAACATGGTCTGGGTGAGGTGTTCCTGCCCATGGCAGTTAGAACTAGATGATCTTAAGGTCCTTTCCACCCCAAACTATTCTATGATTCTATGAAAACAAATATTCTGACCACTGTTGGGATTTAGACTGCATCTCACCAAACCACCTTCTTCATCATCCTCTCTCTTTCTGCTTGAAAGCTTTTGAAGTTCACTACTAGTTTTCAAGAAGAAAACAAAGAAAGAATGTGCGTAATATGTTCATTGCGATAATGGCACATGAGACTCAGCTTTCAATGGTCAAACTCCCCCCATGTTATTCAGTGGCAATAAGCTATAAACATAATAATCTACAATGATTTCTCTGTTTCTGTCTAGATCCTTCCATACAGTATTTTAAAACACAGCAAGGAAAATTCTGGCTTCTGGGGGTCAAAAAACAGAGAGCTTTCTCACTTACTTGTTTTTAGAGTAGGTGACTGCTTTGCTTGACATGATATATCTCTGGGAATATATCGTGCAAATAACATACAGCAACATTTAGCCAACTTTTGTACTTATTTTCACTTATCCTATTAGCTTCCACTACTATGTTTCTCTTCAGGATGATAGATCTATTTCTAACCCTCCCACCTAGGATTGGTAAATCCCTGAATTTATACTCTCATAAAAGTTCCTTTGTTGGTTTAAGGAAATAGTTTCAGATTCCTGTTATATTCAGATAAAACATTTTGCCTATTTTCAGGTAAAGGGTTCTGCCATGGCTGGAACAGAAGCACCTCACTGGTCCTCTTCAGTATTGCCTTTTATTGGATTAACCTATATTTCCACGTGCAGTCACATAGCTGTTCTCACTCTTAATTTTCTACATTAATAAAAACGGAAAGTTACTTTACACTTCAAGTTTAAATCAATATTATTTTTAGTGTAAATTGTATGCACAGAATTCTTTGATCCTCCATGACATCTTTTCATAGAACATTAGCATAACAAAGAAGAATAAAAGCAACTGGAATTGAATGGTTAAGAATTTCTTTTCTGGAGAATTTAAAATGAGGCAGCTGTAGATCCCAAGGATGTGAGAATGTTATTTCCTTCTGCAGCTATTAAAATGGCTTTTAATAAGAAGAGATAAGATAGGAACAAAGCATCAGGAGTTCCAAAGTAGACAGCAGGCAGAATCCATAACTTGTAATTCTGTGCTGACGATTTGTATTAGCTACCTGCTTACTATTGACTACCGTAAATTTTGTGGTAATTAATTTTATATTTCTAAGAGGTCTACAGCAGAAAAAGATCTAATTTTTGTGTTCTAAATGCAGAAGTCTTCTAGTTTTTTTAAGAGTTTTGTTCAGAGTAATATAACTTAAAAATGTTAATACAACTGCTCCAGATGAGCAACCCTAGCAGTAGAATTGAGTAGGGAATCAATAAAAAAATCTGATTTGTTTTCAGACCTTTAGGACAATATTTTTGTTTCAGATGTTTTTGTCATTTTTATTCATGGGGCATGTTTCAGGCAAGTTTTATGAAGACTGCATTCAGAATCAGAATGTAGGTGCCCTCTTGTTTTGTATTGCATTGAAATACTTGTTGTAAATGCCTCTGTACTGCATGAAGTCTTAATTTTACAACCAAATGACCTTCAAGGAAACAATATGCAAACAATGGATTTCTTGCAAGACAGGTGTTTAAGATATCCCATGAATATTACCCTTGAGCAATGATTATCTTATCCAAATGATAAACTGTATATTTTCATTGGTTTATTATGCATATACAGCTGTGATTACACTTTGGTGTATAGCAAGCAGTCCTATAAATATGCTAAAATGAATATGCTATTTAAATGAATAAATACCTTTTTTTGCAATAGCAAGCTAATCTGTTACTGGAGACAGTTTATAAATGCAACTAAGGAGTATGTGAGATTGGATTTAAGGGGAAAGTTATACTGAAGAGCTCAAGAGAACATTCTTTTTCTCCTAATTCCAAATGTCCAGTCTCTGCTGTCCATTTCATATGTTACTGAATCCTTTTGTATAATGAGTTAACTTTAGAGCCACCTGAAGATCAAACTTTACATCTCTAATCATATAGTTAACAAATAAAATGCTGTTCAGTATTTTCTTTCCCTTGTATTTCTGCATTGAAGCTTGACACACCATGTTAAAGAGTAGGCTTTTCAGGTCATCAATCAGATGCAAGATAAGTGAAGCTTCCTCAAATGCTTCTAATGACTTTTTTATTTGTATACTCCAGAAATTCAACAACATAGACAATTTGTCAGTGTACATCCAGGCAAGCTCTTTTCAGCACCATAGTTTTCTAAGCAGTAGGTGGAATGAAAATTCTTCATCTGTAATAGCAGAATATTCATGAGGGAAGGGGGAAAGGGCTTTTCTATGGCTCCAGCATAAGCAAGAACCTGCTTGCAAGCAGAATTTCCTATTCTTTAAAATAACTTGTGTGCTTGCAGTTGGTTTGAACACCTCAGTATCTTATTTGGGAACTAAAGAGGACAGATTATGATAAGTAAGCAAGTACAAATTTGGCAGGGAGTTGGCAGGGAAGTACGGTTTTGATGAACTATGGCATTTTTCACAATATAGACTTCTTGTGCCTGATGTCAGCCTTTTCTTTCTGTCATACATAAGCACTGCTGGGTGCACAGTGCTGATAAGTTTACTTCTGTGCAGAGGGGAGAATATTAAATGAATATAAAGAAAGCATGCTTCATGGGAGAAAGATTTCATGCTTTTTCCAATTATTCTACTCTGTAAAACTGACATCTAAATGACCAATTTTAACATTTTAAGAATTGAATTCCGATCTGTATAAAATAGGATCTTTGCTAGCTGAGACTTACAGAGCTTCGTCATCCTATGGCTCTGAGTCACACACATCACAGCCTACTGTGTTAACACAAACCGAAGTCAAAGGCATTTTAATTTAGCGTGTCAGATTGCAACTTGTGATGGCTAAGGAATGGACAAACTGCCATTTACAGCACTTCTGTGAGGGGATGGCAACCTCTGATCTAAATGCAGAATGGACAGGTGAAGACAATTGCTGTCATTACCCATCACAGGGAAATCCAAGAAGGACAATCAGCCTAAAACTTTATAGTGAATCAAAAAATATACTTAACCCAGACTGTAGTGAACTTCCTTTAAATTTTGTTGAACATGGTATTCTATGAGAAAAGGAAAGCACACATCCCATTATACCCCCTGTACTTTTTTCTTTTTTTCCTTCACAGACCATTAACTTAAGGTTTCAACCATGTGAGAATTCATATCAAGGCTCTTTGTAAGGAAACACAAAAAAGATCATGATAGGTTACTCACAGAGGGAGAATGTAGTTCAATTTACTGCTACCACAGAGTACAGTAAAGCTCCAAGCATCTTTTCTGGAGCTTTCAGGACTCTAGCAAAAATAAAACCAGTATCAGGTGTTTTTAATTTGTTGTTAACTGAGGCACCTGCACATTTGAAAAGAGAAAGTAGCATGATTTAAATAAGTAGAGCAGACCACATTTCCTCTGCAATAAAACCTATCTTCCTGATCCATAATATATTTGTCTTTCTTCTGCATAATGGGAAACAGTGTTTCAAAGCTTAACAAACTGAATCACTGCAGACAAGGAGTAAATATCTATTTGTACCAAGAATTTATATAACACTCCTCATCCACAAAGCAAAACCATTTTATTATGTCAGCATTACTACTCTATTGCTATGAAATAAAACAAGATACTGATTTGTTCACTATAATAAGGGAAGTAAATAATAGAGCTCACGTAATCTGATTTCCCATCCAATCTCTATATATTGAAGGCTTCAGCTATTTCTATATACTATTAATATTCTTTATTACATCCTGAAATCCACCAGAGGTTTGTGTCCCAGCTTTCTGGCTTCAGTAGAAACACATAAGAGAATATTCTCCAATGATCACTAACTGATCAAAAGCAAATACTTAGCTTCTGTACTACTTCATAGGTTTGATCAAGCTTGCAGCAATAAGACTAATCTAATTTTTGTGGAACACAGTACCATTTCTCAGGTTCTAAAGGAAAAAATAAATTAAATTTAAGTGGAAGCACGGCTACACAATGAAATCACATGTAGAGCAAGACATTAGAAAATGTATTTTACTAGAGGTTCCCATGTAAAAACTAACTTGATTGCATCAGCTTGAACCACATTCCATAATAGGCTGTTTTCCCTAGTTTTAATAAAAGTGGAAAAATACTTTTTATGCTTGACATTTTTTTTAGAATATACTGCCAATTTTAAAAAAGCAAAAAGACATAGCTGATACAGTTGGTAGTGCTTAAAATCAAAGGCAATATCTGTAAGTCTCGACTTAAAGTGGTCATACTGTAATTTCAAGGCCGCATTTGCAAATACTGTTGAAAAACACAAGTTAAGTAATTCTACAGTGAACACTTTAAAAAGCATATTAATATAAACTTTATACATGGATATAAACTTTATACATGGACAAGGCTAAAGTAATCCATATCTAGATATGTTGATTTAAAATTTCAGAGAAGAAAGAAGATTTTTGAAGGTGAAAACAGCCCATTAAAGTGAACTATATTACTAATTTGATACTTATGGTCTTGCTAATGGTGATAAAGATTTAGATTCCATTCTTAAGTACTGGAAAACAAAAGCTGTGTTTTGTATTTTGTATAAATTGTCCTTTGTCCTGATGAAGAACCATTACATTTCGTTTCACCATTTCTTGTATTAACTTGTATTATTACTGTAATATCCAAACCACAAGAGGCACTATTTGTGAGACAACAAAAACATAGCAAAATAACCACATACCAGAACTGGCAAATCACTAGGAACATAACCAGACTCCAGAATCTGACTCAGTTTTGATGTCTCTGGGCACGTCGTCCCCAGTGCTATGCTGTTAGCACTCCCTATGTTAAAGGACAGCCCAAAACTTATATATAATTTTATCACAGGACACCAGTGAAATAAATAGCAAACTGAAGATTATTTACTGCACATTAAATATATACTTGCTGGAGTAAAGAAGGCAAGACGAAAAAAAAAATATGGGGAAAATGACAACAAAAAATGTATTACACAAGCAAATACAGTGTATAAGTTACATTTTAAATGGAATATAGATTTAAACTCTTAGGAGGGCATAGATCTCATGGAAGCATACAATGCTTTTTTGACAATAAATGAACAAAAGCAGTGAAACATGGAACCTGTGTGCCTAGGTTGGAAGGTTTATCCAATGCCAGCCACCCCTTCCCTCTGTCCTTCCAGCCTGTCTGCATTTTGGTTTTTTAAATTTCTCCCACAATTCCTTCTGTTTTTCCTTTTTTGTTTGCTTTCTCATGTGTTTCTTTATGGTATGAGCTAAACAGACTCTGAAAGTACAGTCACTTCTAAATCCTTCAGGCTCTTCTACTTTGGGGGGAAAAAAAAGTGAGTTAAAAGGAAGCAAGGTGGGAAAAAAAGTGTTGATTAGGACTCTGTTTTGTTCAGGGCTGTTTTTCCAGAAGCAATTCTTGCAGCACCCACCTCAGAGGACTTTCTTCCTGTAGCAAAGTAAAAAACACAAAACATGGAAAAGATTAATGCCTGCAACGTCTCCAAAGTAACCCTGCATTTTGAGAGGTTCTTAACAATGAGGCAGATCTCATGTCTTGTGAATATTTCTCATAACCGAGGCTAGTCTTTTGTGAGAATATTTGCTCAAACTATTATAAATTTGAGGTCTTGTTATAACAAACCTTGGTCTGCCCTGGGCAAAATGCTTCCATACAGGCAGTTCTGTTGCAGTGTGTTCAGAACAATAATCAGCCTTAACAGGTACTTATAAACAAACGTGTTAAAGCCAGACATTCACTAATAACTTCAGAGAGGAGAGGAGTCAAAGAGTCAGGAGTCAGGAACATAGACCTAAATTACATTAATGGCATTGCAGTAATCTTACAACTATAAGATTGATTTTGCTTTCACATTGTGTTAGTTGTCTACGTGGGGGATTTCACTAGGAAAATTTCTAAACTCCTAAACACTGCTCTGTATTTTAATTTTCTATAGAAGTATTGTCACAAAATCACTGTGGTCCTATCTCTGAAACATGCTGAGGATCCTGGACTTTCCACCGTATGAACAGGTATTTCTATCTACACGCAGCTGAACCCCACAGAGATAAAAGTCTCAGGCCTCAAAGGCATTCTGATTACACCAGCATGACACCACTCTTAAGCTAATTATCTCTGCCTTTTGATAGGACCAGCTATTTTGGCACATTGTAACATCAATGTACGTATACTGTTTCTGATTCTTGGACTAGCTTAGTATTAGTTTCAAGATATTTACCCAAATATGTCTTGGATGTCTTTGAGCAGATTGCATAGCTACTACAGCAGAAATCAAAGGCCTGAGAAAAACTTCTATGTAAAATCTATGTGAATAGTACATTGGATGCAATGCAACTGAATTAAAGTCTTTTCATTGCTTTGTTTGTTGTTTTTGGTGGTTTTTTTTTTTTGATAGGAGGAATGGATGGGAGTTATGTTTATCGTCATATTTGTCACTTCTTTATATGTATGACATTAATAAGCATAGAAAGAGAAACAGAGAGTTAATACAATCAGCAGCCCTATTTCCTCTGTAGTGAGGACTAGGTGAAGCCACCTCTAGAGAAAACTGTACAGAAGAATGAGCACCGTGGAGTGCTGGTGGGGCAGATCTGGTAAAGATGGAGCCAGTGTCTGTCACTGACCATCTCACTCCACAGTAATGCTGGGGCAGCAAATGTATACACCTACACACTGAAACCATGGCACTTATGTACAAAGGAAGAAAAACCTCATGGCTTTCCTGAGGAGATACCAGGCACTGAGCTGAGTCCTGAGTCCCTGACACTGAAAAAATTAAAATGACAAGTGCTTCAGTGAGGGAAACCTATCATGATGCTGAACTTCGAGTAAAGGAGAATGCCGAAAGCATTTGTTATCATTTTTCCAAATGCTTGACATCTCCTGTCTCTGAACAGCAATCTGGGATCACTGTTTGTAATGGAAATACCAACAATTGGAAACAAGACCTCAGGAGACCCTGTTGCTACTGGGCTGTAGACTTTTTCTTACACTTGAAAGGTTGTAAAAGAAGTCACAACCCCTCAGCTGAAGCCAGTATGGTATTTTCTCTGTTTGTTCCCATTGTCTGTGTCACAATGGCGCAGAACTGAACCCTATACACTTTGTAACTATTAAACCACTTATAAAGCATTAGGACCATAAATAAGTCTGAGACAGGTGTTCATAAAACACATTTTTTTACCAGACACCTGTTGATCCCAGACAAATATCAAAGGAGAGTCTAAAGGTCTTCTTGCCCTCTAACATTTTTATACTAATGCATAGAAAAAGATTTTGAGGAAGTATTTAAGTAATCTTGTATACTAAGGATATGATTGTATGCAGTTTTACTGGAATTGACTGGAATTCACATTATGGTCATCACTGAAGATTTTTTAAATGGTAACACGCATTGATGCGAAGGCAGTGAAAATTGGTTTGATTTGTACATATGCTCTTTAAAATTATATACTTACTTATACATATTTTTTTTTCTGATATCATTTTCCATAGGAGCTTGGTGCATATTATTTACTCCTAGACTATGGTTGGTTTATTTTAATTCATACATCCCATGATATATGTGGTGGAACACTTAGAACTTTACACATAAGTGATGATTTTGATTCAGAAATTTTGCTAACAGAATTATCAATTTAAAACTTCAAAACCCCAAACTTATTAAAATTATTAAAACTAAATTAAACCTTATTTTTCCCCTCATAGCTTCCTCATGTTAAAAAAAAAAAAAATAGAAACCTGTTCCATTTGGGCAAAACAGTTGTATTTATTTATTTATTTATCTGTGCATCTGTAGATTTATGCTCAGAACCATATGAAAAAACAAATGTCAATGAATGCTTACATAAAAAAAGTGGTAAATGGTTTACTCTTATTCCTCTATCCCCTTGTTACAGTACTCAGCAAGGATGCAGGAGGATTCAGTCTAGTGACTTTCATAGTCTGAAACAATTTAAACATGTATCTTCCATTTTAACTCCATTTTAACTGCAGAGCATCTGTGTGGGGCTTTTTTCTGATCCTTTCACTGGAGATATTTCAGTTCAGAGATGTATCAGTCCTGTAATTCTTTAACTTAGAAGCTGGGACATTTATTTTTTAATGTAGCTGTGGCGTATATTAGTAGACTGTGAAACCTGAACGCAAGCATTGTCCCATGATTGTTTGCTGATAAAGTGTTAATGTGATCCTTAGCACAGTGTGGGTCTGTGACAAGTGGTGTCCTCCAGACAACTTCTATGTATAGCTGGGATTAACAGTGGAATCCTTCCCAGTCATCAGACTGGATTCTGCCACCATGTTTTTGGAAAAGTACTTAACCATATGGATACAAGCTGTGAAGTTTCTGTTGGTTGAGATCTGTTTTGACTACCAGCATACTTCAGAACTTGAAGAACTGTGCCAGATCTGTGTGCCCAACAAAGCTGAAGGAGGGAAATTACTAAATTTTACCAACCCCAGTTTTCCCTGAATCTTTTGCAGAGTGTACAGATGACATCTTAACTCAGTTTTGTGAAGAGGTAAAATAAAGGATACACAGAAGTTGAGATCATACCCCAGACTTCTTAATTTGTATGTGGGCAGTTCTGCCCATGAATGCTTTAACAGCCTTTGTTTGTCAATTTTCTGTAATCTGTCTGACTGCAAGGGGATGGTGTATGCTATATTAAACACCCTACACACTCTATTTGTAAATGCAGAGTTTGAAAGCAGTGGCCACCAATCATTCATAGAGCTACTAGCCCTGTGTGATAAGATCATAAATACACTTGTTTGAAGAAAGGTATACCTTCTCAGTTCCCAAAGCATACCAATAAAACTGCCTCTAACGTTGTAAGCCAATAGTCACAGAAAAAACTGCTAAAAAGCATTGAAACATAATGGAATCAAAAAGCCAGCGTGAATCTGTGAAACATCACAGATATTTTGCTTATTATTTGTTTGACTTATTTAATGGTAATACATAGTTCCTGACAAATGCTTTTCCTGAATCTTGCTTAGACTTCCAGATAAGGTAGAATAAATATGCCTGAAAACACCATCACAAACAAAAGAGCCCTTTAGGAAGGACAACACAATGGTTCTATTATGTTTTCAGTATTTTGGCATCGATTAGAATAACAAGTGCTATATGAAGTTCAGTGATACCTTCACATTTAGATAAAAAGCAGTGCATAATTCCTGCAAAGGTATGTATTGTTCTAGACAGCAAAGCAGAATATATAAAGATGGTACTTGTTAAAATGTAAGAGCTTTTGAATTGAAGATTTTAGATGCTTTATCTTTTGATTACTTTAATAACATTACCCTAGCAAAACAATTATACACAGCATTTTGTCATTCTTCTTTCTTCAAAAGATTTCTACTGCAAAATTTTTGGACTATTGGACTAATTGATAACAAAAATTGTTTTGTGAAAGTGGAAAACAGAATGATTAACTGTTTTCATGATATCCAGCTAAAACTAAAATAGATTTTATAGTAAGCGTTTAATTCCTCAGAAATATTTGTGTCTTTCAGCAGCAGTATGTGATACTTGAGATGCACCCAATAACTTGTAGGAGATTGAAGTTTGAGTTACAGAAGAGGCATGATACCAAAGTCTTCTTGATATCTGGACCTCACTGTTCATGAATGCATGCATAACATGTTCTCAGGTGTGCTTACTAGATCATGAGTCCTGGTGAAAGCAAAAAGGACGCAGATTTTCTTTTCTGTTGAGCAAAGTAGAAGGACAAGAGGTTTGTCCAGGTCATCTTAAACTTCTAAATGCAAAGGTAAATTGTCCATCATAAATGACCTGATGTGGTAAAGTAAATAATATCCATTTTTGGTTGGTAAAAGTTGTGACATTTAATAAATTATAATTCTAAAAATGGCATGGCAATATTATTGCAATTAATTGTATTTCCTTTTATGTTATCTTATTAAAAACATCAATTTATCAACTAATTTCATTTTCAATTTAGTATAACCAATGATTTTTAACACTAACATTAAAAGTCATTGATCTTGAGAAGTACCATGCAATAGCCATTATTAGTTAAGTACTGTTTTGAAACCAGCTTGAAATTTTATAACATATTTTGTAGTGCCATGAATAATCGTAGAATCATAGAATAGTTAGGGTTGAAAAGGACCTGAAGATCTTCTATTTCCAGCTCCCCTGCCACGGGCAGGGACACCTGCCACTAAACCATGTCACTCAAGGCTCTGTCCAACCTGGTCTTGAACACCACCAGGGATGGAGCATTCACAACTTCATGATAATACTTAATTCCTAATTTGTTGGAGTAATGTTTTGGTTTTCTTGCTTCTGGTTTTGTTTTTATGCTTGGGTTTTCTTTTTTTCATCTAAGTTATAGCTGCAGTGTTTTAGAAGTTCAGCAGAGGAAAAGTGATGGAGCTTACATTCACTACTGTATTTAGAATTCACTGTTAAATTGGAATGTTTGTAAAGATGGGTCTAAATTGCAAAACTTAAAATAGCCGCTATCAGAGTGTGCTGATAGAGATACATCCAAAATTTGTAAACATGGAAGATGTAAGAGTATTACATTCAGAACTCTGAAGAAACCTTTTCTGGTTTTAAAAGCTTCAAATGGAAATATCCAAAGGCAATGAAGTGGAAGACATTTTGGATTACAAGTTCATAGACAGAAAATTTTTACTGCAACATATAAATTATCTATTTATGTTTTACTTCTGACAGAAAACTTAGTCTCTTGAATACTGAAAATTCATGAAGAAAATTTATAATTTTGAATATTTTTTTTCTCTTAGGAAAGTCAATTTGAAGTATTTTGTTGAAGTCATCTGATGTTAATCTAAAAATCTATAATTGATCGAAACAATATCTCATTGTACGAATGGGAAAAACAAGGGCCCGGGAAGGCTTAAATTACTGTTGTACCATTTTGCCTCTCTACCTGTGGTATTTCAGTCAAATAGTTTACAAAAATTCTAAATTGATTTCATAGCTTCATAAGATCTCCTTTTCACATCCCCCTATTTAAGATTTCTTCTACATTTTAAACAGGACAACCTCCATTTACCATGACAATAGTTTGCATTTGCTGTTATAAAGGCCCTTTTAAAAATTAAGACAAATTTTTTTTTCAATTTCCACACATTTTTTGTTGTTTATCTTTCATTCACAAATTCTTATCAAAGTTGCTGAAAGAAATACGTCAGTCCACAGTGGATAAACCAGTCAAAAAAGAACATCTGAGCTATAGATCCATTATTAAATATAATTAATTCAGTAGTTATGCTTTGTGGATTTTTCGGCATCTAATTTACAACTCACCTACTTACATG